CTGGAGATATTCAAAATCTGCCTGGACGCAATCTTGTGCAACTTGGTGTCGGGGACCCTGCTTTGGCAGGGGGGTTGGACTGGATGGTCTCCAGAGGTCCCTTCCAACCCCAACCATTCTGTGAGTCTGTGATCACTCTCGGGACTGGGATCACAGAACCACAATACAAATACCTCAAGTTCTGTTAATATCAACAAAATATAGATATTTCACTTCACTTCCAGACCATGCCTCCTGTCTGCATCTTGCTTTTGTGAACTCCAAATGTAGGAAACACCTAGAAGGCTAGGTACCACAGAAAAACATGAAGACATTCTGAGTTCAGTGCTAGAAAGCCACTTCCTGAACCCCAAGGGCTGAAGAGAACGCTGCAGTGTCTCTGTGTGAATTAGATGGAGCTGAGGTATTCAGCTGTACTCAAGCTGATGCCATACATAGCAGGTTGGAAAATCTCCCCAGCATACTCCGTACAACTCATAATAAAAAACATTTTTCCATTACCTGGAATTATCCATGTCCTACAACAAATAGCAACAGAAAAGTTTAACAAATTGGGTGAAATTCTTTTGACTGATGAAGTTCTACCACCTTCTGAGAAATTATGTCATATAACAAAGAAATCTGTATATGTTGCACAATTTTTCTGGCTCCTAATTTCACTTACTGCTTCAATAATGGTCCAAAAGAACATATAAACTAATCAGTGTTCTTTTTTTATTTCACCTGGAAGAGTGATACACACGTGGATACTTACGTGGATAAGTAATTGAAGCAGTTCTTGTGCAATCGCAGTTGCAACATCTTACTTGCTCTACCTCTATGCTGAAGAAACACATTACAGACTATAAAATCACGTTCCCATGTCAGTTAATAAGGAACGATAGAATTTAAGAAATCAGATGATTAATATGACTTCTAAGATCACACTTTGATAAGGAAAAATCAAAAGTGATACGAAAAAATATGAGCCTTCAATTCATGCTGCATATTAAAATATCACTTTTCATTCAAGATTTTAGAAGTCAAGCCATAGGGAAATTACATCAGGATGCTTTCCTTTCGTGATAAACAGCGGCAAAGATGCTTCTATGTCCCAGAAAAGAGAATGACCATGAAGAAAAGGAAAACGTTTTATGTTATTCTAAATTTAATTAAATAGCTCGGTGCACAACAACATACCTCTTTATCCTGAATATTTGGATCTGCATTGTTTTCCAGTAACACCACCATGCAGTTAATGTAACCTCCATAAGCAGCACACTGCAGAGGCGTTCTACCTGCATAATCCTGCACATTAGGGTTGATTTTATTTTCTATCAGGATTTGGCACACATCAGCATTTCCTCCCAGGGCTGCCCAGTGAAGGGGTGAATGGCCATCTTGGTCAACCAAATCTACTCTTGCTCCTCCTGTAACAACAAATACATTTTTGAACATAAAAAACCCACTTTTGAATGCAAAGAAAAGAATAAGTTTACGTTCAACTAGAACTTATTTGGTAAACTGACAATTCAGAGAAATATTTCTGAAAGTAACTTCAATTTTGTTACTCAAACCTTAAAACCAAAATAGAAATTAATTCGGAATGAAATAGTTTCAGTGAGGGTAGTGAGGGTCAGGAATCTAACTTTTTTACAAGCTTCTGAGTATGCTCTCACACACTTTAGAAACTCCAGATTTGCCAAATGCCCTTGAAAAACCTACCCTTTATTTGTTTCAGGCCTATTAATTCTCAGTGAAACTTTTATTTCATAACAACAAAATCATTTTTGAAAACTAGACTTCAGATGAAATCTCTTTTCAAATCTGTAAAGCGGACAAGATAAAATAATCACAGTGTAAGAATGACTTTTGAAAAACAACTCCATTTTTTTAAAATTCAAGCATGTTGACTCTTTTATGCAGATAATTAATTTCTCTGTCTGTTCTTGTAAGATGCAAAAACTCCGTACAAAACTAAACCTCCACAAATATAAAAACCTGAAGCAACCAGCAACAATGACTGTCTGTATCATAAAATATTTAATTAAACATAACTCAGATTCTAATAACCAAGTTTCTTGCATCTACAAAAGCTAGATGGCATACTGAGTGGGAGGAAGAGCTTAACAGGAGGTTAAAATATGCCGAGTAGATCACAGAGGGAAGTACACTTTTCAGTAAGAAAGGCTGGTTGATGGAAAACTTGCAACTTATTAGCCTGGGTACTACAACTGTCCATAAATGAGATAATATCTCAAGCAGGAGGGAGACTGCTTCCAGCTACTTGGAACGTTTCTGTGAAGCTAAAATGACAGAATTTTGCATCTAAGATACCACTGCTCTTTCACCATACTTCTTATACTTCAGCAAAGTTTTTACAATTGCCTAAAACTGTGTACATTGTTAAATCTTATTTCTGCCTACAAATAAAATGCTGCTTATAAAAATCAATCAGAGGAAAAAATTAATGATTTAGGATTTTTGATAGCTATCTTCATTAAAAAATAAAGATTCATTTAAATCATCAAAAAATCTTCAAAGAAGTCTAAAAATGCTTTCTCACAAAACAGAAGAAAGCTTAATTTGGTCTTATTTGCTGGAGAGAAAAAAAAAATAAAGAAAAACAATGACTTGCTGGGGGAAGAGGCTGTTTGAGAGACTAGAACATACTTGAAAAGGCTTGAGCAGAAAATAGCTGTAAAAAGAACTATCCCAATTTGAAAGTCTTACATTTAACACTTCTAGCCATTTTGCACAACACCCTGATAATCTTTTACATTTACTAGTGCTGTTCCACAAAGCGTACTTACAGACAAAACCTGCCTTAGGGAAGTAATTTTCTACCCCACCTCTTGCTCAGCTATGCTGTTTATTTCCCAGTCCCGCAGAAAGTAGCACCGTAACTCTGAACAGGTTTGGAAATTCGTAACAGCTGACCTCTAATTAGTGTTTGTATCACTTCTTTGTGTCCCATCTCACAGGCTCGGAAAAGCGGGGTATGTTTCATGACATCCAAAGCATCCACCTGTGCATTATGTTCCAACAGCAGTTTCACTGTGCTGACGTGGCCAGAAAGGGCAGCAGCATGTAATGCTAAAAGAATAAATTAGTAGGAAAAAGAAATCACAATACCATGAGCTTTGGAGGTTCACAATTAGAACAGTCAAAATAAAAACGAATTTTAACCATTTTGGTGGAAAAGGTACTTTTCGACCACAAGAAACTGAAGAATCATAGCAAGCGATCACTAACCACATTTTCTTGCCATACAAGCAATAAGCAGAAAATTTGTTAGCCCTGAAACGTGTTTTTAACTTGTACAAATAGGAATTTTAACCTTAACACCACCAAGATGGGCTTATACTGAGGATTTGTGGAAGGTTAGGAGCTTCTGATTAAGAGAACATAACATGATCTACTTCTGCCTCCATTTTGTGGCATTTCTTACATCAACCCCAACAGAGATGAAACTGCCCACTGCCAGTGAAAGAAAGCTTTCATTATTTCTTCGATGTTTTCCTGAAAATACCTTTTTTTTTAGTTCTTTTAAATCAGTAAAGCTGTCTCAATTAAAACTAACTCCAGATAACTACCCAGCTTTTCCTGCCCCTTTTTTTAATTCAGAATTATTTGGAGAAAATTTTACACAAAATCATGTAGCAAGGCCATCACACCTCGCACAGTATCTGTCGCTCCGTTTTCTTCAGCAAAAAGAAAAAGATGATGGAAAAGACCAGATACTGCATTTTATCTCACTCCTACAATTCATGAAGTTCAGTCGTATGAAAACTATGCAAGTTGATTCTGCAGACTGCTTCTCTTCCATAGTTTTCTTTGCCCTCTCATATTGAATGTATGCAGACTTCACTGAATCCAAACCAAGAAATAACACAGAGCTACTTTAGATACTTTAGACCTCAGAGATAAAGATGTGGTGTCCTAGAACTGAAGGTGCTGTCGCCTAACACAGCATCCTGCCGGCACTGTCACCTGGATTTGAGGAAAATGTTGAAATGCCAGTCCGACCAGTTCACGGTTCTTTTTGAAGGAAAGGAGAACTACGCATAGCAATGAGATTTCAAACCAATGGAGGACACATGTATTGGTGATTTCACTATTTGCTTTCAAAAGGTTTTGGATTATTTCCTATAGTCAGCAATGGAATCAGACAATCTACATTATCATACTGTACATCTATTTCACAGATGACAAAAGCAAAATAATTTAGAATGAAAATACAAAGCAGCGCAATTCATAAATATGCATTTAGTAAAGTGAATTCATATTTCCCCATGAAATTTCACAAATATGCATCCTTGGTGAGAATTCAGTCTGCTCAAGCAAGTGAGATGTGGGGCTGTAAACAGTACCTACATGCCTCTACTTGTTTAATGTTAAAACAGGTAGGGTCAAGATCCAGCCGAGTCATTATACAGAAAGGCACACCATGAAGGCTGATGCTAGAAGGAACTGCTTCTTGAGCCACAGCCAGATGATCAGAACAGTCAGGCTTTTTGTATTTGCCTGCAACTGTTTACCACGGGTACCAGCTTCACACAGCTTATGCAACAGTAACCTGGCAGAAACTGTTACAGAGGCACTACTGAAAGGCACAGGTTGTTCATGCCCTCGGTGAATCAAATCCAGCTGAAGTGTGCTGCCTTAAAACACACATTGACAAAATTAGTGCTAGTAACTGGAATTGCGATACAGACGAATGAGGCGCTTCCTACAAGAACTGGGGTCACAGCCAGAGACACTACGAGAAGTGCTGCCTTAGTAATTGAAATCATGCCTTTAAGATGACACTGATGTTTAACTGTTGCAGCTAAAAAGCATAGAGGCACTCACCGCAGTCGTGAAAAATATCTGTAAGCAGGAAGATCTGCAGTAGCTATGTGAGTGGGTGGTTATCAGTAGAAATTTGACAAGAATGAGATCCCTGCCGCTTTGTACATTTGGATAGGCCTGGTTTTCATGGTCTGACCTCACAGTAAACTCTAGGTTCTGGTTTTTGTACTGCACTTCTTATGAAACCAACGGCAATAAACCACCCCATCAGATGACACATGGGGTGTGTATAACAATACAATAGAAAAAGAGCTGCTGTGTCAGCTTGGCCGGTTCTTCCCCCCTATCACTCATTCTGACGCAGGCATCTTGTTTCGCGCTTTGTGCTCAATATTTTCTTGTAAGCCAAATTTTCTGTGATGGAGTCACGGTGACTGAAGAGATTCTTGGGCCAGCTGGTCACAATAGGCCCTTTGTTCAGCCGACAGACAGAGCCCTCTCCATTGTACGCAGTGACGGCAGAGCTATAAAGCTGCCCCTGTAATGCTCCTGCAGCGCTGATCTCTAGGCAGAAGGAAATTCCTTTCCCTTGGTGTCATGCTCCTACACAATGCGGAGAGTCTCGATGTTCTAGCAAAGCTGAATGGAGAGCTTGCTCTTTTTAAGTAAATGCGAAAGGCTGCGTTAACGCAACATTATAACTGAGCTTAACTGAGTTGGCACACAAAAGTCAGAAACACACAACCCTGAACTCTCCTCAGCAACTGTACCCCAGGCACGGTGGCATGTACGCTATTTTCTATTAGTGCATAGTTTCCCGTCAGAATACAACGCTACTTTTCCCTCACCAAAACTTGGGAATGATTAAGAACCTTTGGACAAAACCCCACGTCTGAAATCAGAGAGTGATTTACTGGTGGGCTTCCTTTTAAGTTTACAGCTCACTTTAATAAAGCCCATGCTACTGCACATGCTTGCACAATGATAAAGTTCAGATTGCTCGACAGCAAGCAACGAACGGCATAGTTCCCTACTTTAAGACTATTACTGTGTTCTACACAACAGCAGTTTCAAGGAAATGGAAAATCCATCCATTTCCTTGGATTAAAAACCCTACAACAATATCAAGATTAAAAGGTGATTACACATCACTGCTATGAAAGGTTTAAGACTGAAAGATAATAAACCCAATGACCTGAATTATTCAAGCATGAAATCCACACCTGAGTAATTTCAGAAACACAGTATGTGTTCACTGTCTGCAAAGAAGAAAACCCTTTCTAAGAAGGTTTGCACAGTGACTACAACATTACTGCACCTTAAGGTCTGAAACAAATACTGTGAGGTATTTAAAAGGGCACTGTCAGGAAGGAGCAAATATAGGTGAGACTGATAAAGGATGAAACAAGACTAAAATTGTAGAGTATGTAGTTTGCAAGGCATCAAACATGAAGACTGAGATTTTATTTGTTGCACAATTTCTTAAACTCAAAAATTACAAACTATCATAACTTGGAAAGACTGACTTTTCCATGCGTTAATTTGTAAGGAGAGTAAGAATTTAGATATTTAAATAGAATTTTACGGTAACTGTATTTGGCCTTTTGTGTAAAGACCCACCATACCACCAAAGAAAATAAAAAATTTATTTTTATGAAAGTAATATTCATACATGCTATCTTTCAAATCTTGAACCATGCAACCCTGACGTTGCATTCATTTACCATTTGTATGTTATTTGAAGTGTGATCTGAAGAGAGAAAAATCTGTTAAACTCGTATCTTTGTCTCTTGGTTGGCATAGATCTACGCTGCAAGTTCCCTAAACCTAAGCATGCAGCTTAGCTAGTTTGTGTGTACGTGTGTGTGCAGCCAAAAGATATACCTTAAAACAAATTTATTAAAATTTATATAAACAAACATTGCAATATACATTCTTGTTTGTTTAAAATAACATAGCTTTCAGGAGAAATGCCCTCTATTATATTATTCACGGATGTGTGCTCTATCAGCTCAGATATCATTTTACTACTTATTATACATAGGTAAACATTTTTGCACTTAACTTCTAAATCTGTGACCTGGCTGTGACGGGCACAGGGTAGTTCATGACCTCCTCCCACACAGTTTACCCCTGCAGCCCCCTGCTACCAAACCCCTCCAATTTATGCCCAATGTATCCACATTCTCCTCTTTTTTTTTTATTCAGATGTCATCAGCACACGATACAGCTCCACTACTTTAACTGTATTTCCAACTCTGTTGAATACATACACCCTTCCACACCTGTCTCTCTGTCAGAACTGTTATTTTGTTTTTGTTGAAAGTACTACATAGGTACAATATTTCTACCACAAATTCTTAGAATTTTTCATTAAAGGAGATAAATTCATAGTTGCTATAGGAAATATTGAATTTCATGACTTGCATGCTTGAATTCTGAAATGCTGTGTTGCATGACTGTCTTTTGCTTCAGGCAGATAATGAGATGATAAACTTAGGGTATATCAAGTTTAACTTCTTGTTTGGACAACAGAAGGGCAATAGCTCTAATCTTTATCACACTACCTTTACAAATAACTATGGTACTTAAGATTTTCATGATGATAATTTAGCCACTTCATTGGTTAGTTTGCTCTATATTGTTTCAAAATATTTATTTACTAACAAATAAATTTTTTAAATAGGCAATTATATTTCATTGTATTCTCCGAAGTACAGAACAGTTCTTCCTTTCCCAGGACTGCAGATCTAACTAAACAGCAGCACAGCCGTACATTTCTTCCTGTTATGTTTCGAATGAACTGGTCCAATCTGCGCAAAAAAGATTTGATTCTTTCCCACAATAACGCAAAGAAGTGACTCATACATATAATTAGACTGATGCAGAAATATTTTCAGGATTAAGGTACACATCCAGGAAAAGATTAATATAGCTTCTAACAGTGTTTTTTATTTGGTGGATATCACAGTGACTGGAAACATTCAGTGGTTCTTTACTGTAAAGCGTCTTACCTGTGCCAGCGTATTTGTCTGTCATATTGATATCAATATCCAATTTTAAAGTCAGCATAGTCCTAATGACATCATCACTGCCTTTGCCAGCTGCCCACATGAAGGATGTTCTTCCCTCAAGATCTGAGTCATCTTTTACAGAAGGATGTTTCAAAAATACTTCAACTGTTTCCTGAAAAGACATACTATTGAAATTAGCATTAAAAGGAATCTGTAACAATAAGAAACTACTGTGTCTCATTTAGCTGTTTACGAAGCAAATCAAAGCTTCATTTTTCCTTTTTATGTTTATATAGAGTAATAGCTCAACAGGAGCACTGTATTTTCTGCTATGCCCCTTTCCTTGTCAATGTTCATAGTGCATCCTTAACTATGAATTTAACTCTGTCATTTATTTCACACTTCTTTGTTTTTAGTGTTCATCATAAAGAAGTAAAAGACACTGCAGTCATTGTGAAGAAAGCAATGGGAAAAATATTATCGGCTTATCAAAACATTACTGTAATACTGTAACGCTAAAATGACGTTCCTTCAAAATATTCTCCTGACATATTTTTTAGCTCCAATTCTAAATATGACTGCACATGTAAATATTTTAGTCTGCCAAACTCTAATAATTTTACTATTCAAAAAAAACCCAAACCAAACCAAACCAAATACTTTTGGGGCAACATAGACATATTTCCCAATATTTAATAATATCGACAGGTTACTAATTACTGAAATATTATAAATCAAAAAAGATTAAGAAAATCTTTACACCTCAGTCCAAGCTTTCCACTGGAACTGCTACACAAAAAACTCTAAATCAAAGCAAAAAGAATTATTTCTTCAAATGCTGTGTTTGCGTTAAGCTCTCAGCAAACAAGTCCACTTGTTTAACCCCCTGCTAAATTCTTAATAAGCCACACAGGAAAGGAAGGGAGAGGAAATCATGACTGCTAGAAAAAGAATTAGGGGAAGATTTTCCCTGTTCTATCTAATGCCTTACAAAGGTTGTGCATTTAACAGCTGGTAATCATCTCTTCAGAGCCACTGACAGGTTGGCCAATAAAAACTGAAAAAAGTGGGTTTCATTATTTTATTTTATTTTTATATTTTAGTATTAACACTATTTTATCCTTTCCCCCGTATGACCCTAAAAGAGCTCTATCACTGCTCTGGGTAGGATGAGAATTCCTTGGCTATAAGGAATCAAATCAGAAAGGTGTTTAAATGCCTAAGTCCTATTGATTAGTTTGGATTTTTTTTTAACTACTACTTATTATTTCATCCCTCTAAAGAAATAGGAAATTTCGCATTTATCTTACGTTAATGTGATCTAACAGCTTTGTGAATTTGGGTCCATATCTGAACCATCAGTTTATTGTAAAAAGGTCCAGCCAGAAATAACAAGGACTGGAAGCATTAAGCCTTCCACAGAAACCAGCATGTGTTTATAGCTTTGTGTACTCACACTGACCACCGCTACACCTCAGATACACACGGCTACTCATTAGGCCAGCAACTCGGCACCCTACCAGTACTCTGCGCTGCTTGAAATCCCGCAAAGTGAAAAGCAGTATGAAGGCTGGACCTTTTCAATACTAAGGCACACATCCTACAAACATAAATAAGTAATTTTATTCTTTCATTAAGTTTTAGTAAAGCACTGTTTCTTTCAATCACTCTTTTTTTCTAGAGTTTTTAAGGGGAAAAACTGGAAGAAAATCCCATAGTGCTATAAGAGTTATTTGCCAAAATGAAGTTTTAACAACTTGAAAACAAAATAACGTCAAAACAGAACAGAATGGTTAAGAAATCGGATAACAGAAGTATCAATCAATTTAATTCTACATGTATTTTGTCATGAAAAATCACATGTATTTTATATCTATTAAAAAAGTGGAGAAAACAAAATAAAAAACAATGAAGCTGAAAAACAACAGTACAGGAGAGAAGTAAACCTGGATCATTTCATTGTGTGTTATCAAGAAACTCTGAAAAATACTAAATATTATTTTTGAATATTCAAAAATAAGACAGGGGTGTCCACATTTCATTTACTAGATCAATCTATACAAGAATGCGAAAGGGAAACACATTGTCTTGGACATCTCGGGAAAAATTCTGAAAAATATATATTTAGTCCTACATTCTGCATACTAGAATCAATACTAATAGAGCATCTGCCTTCACCCATGAAGTTCAAAAATTGAAGAAGTATGTTTATTTGGACCTTCTGCAGGATACATAAGCCATCTAAATTTCAAGCAATCTGTTTGGGTGGTCATATTAGATAGCTTCTCTTCTAGAACTTTTCCTTCTACAAGAAGTGGGGATAAATTAGTCTTAGAAAACAAATTCTTCACGTAAATTAAGTGCTGACTAAGTGTCTTCAGTCTTTAAAAACCAAAAATTAGAGTAAGCAACCTGCAGAAAAACAGAGCAAGGAACAAGATAGCGAGTTAAGTAAAACTGAAAGCAATGCAAATATTTATAATAAACACAAAAGAACAAACTTTCTTCTTCTTGTTAGGGACTAAGAAACATTGCATTTTAGCTGAGAAACATACCACGCCTATCCAAACTTGGGCAGAATGAACAGAACAACAACGTGGTTCTCAAACCATAAATACATAGATGCTACTGCCAAAACAAACATGGATGAGTCTCCGCTCAGTTGTCTGACTATGTATGTGGAATGCAGCGGTGGGAATTACCCAAGGATTTGTATGTAATCAAGGAAAAAAGCAAATAGTAGAGCTTAGAAACAACCAGAGTTTTTAAAAAAAGAGAGAAGCTCTAGACATAATTTAGCCATGCACAAACAGGGGCACTTGGATACATCACCAGCTAAAAGAGGCCCGCAGATCTGAATGAGACTCTCCTGTTTCATTCTTTGTGTAAGATGGGAAACAGTACATTTATTGTTAGTATATAAGATTACAAAAGAACATCTGATTCCATCACCTACTCTATTTTGCCATAAAAACCTAAATGATATCATAGTTTGGCTGGCCAGTGGGATCAAAAGGCAGCAACATAAAGAACATGTTTCATACAACTGAATCAAGCTCAGAGAAAGCGAGTCAGTATGAAAAATCATTTTTTAGGAATGTATCAATATAGAAAAGAAAAAAAACGATAAAAGCATGTGGAGACAATCACCAGACTGTAAATAAAAACATTCTATCTTTCCCATGAGTCTGACTCAAACTAGAAAGAAAGGCTTTTACAACATAAATATTTTAGGTGTGTGAGTCAGACCCAAATTGTACATACCACGTAATGGACAACAATCAGCAACAATAAAAAACTCTCTAAAAAGGTGTAAATTATATACAGAGATACGCTCCAATGAAAGTCTGAATTAAAAAAATATCTGTATGGTCTTACTGAGAGCACCTCCAAAAACCCCCACCAAAACCCCAAAACTCACTCTCACGAGGAAACAGAAGGTGACAGCTGTGGTATTAATACACATTGGTCAGTTCCCTCTTTCAATAGTACTTCTGGATTTGTTAACTTAAATGGTTCTCAAGGGCATTAAAATTTTACTTGTTTTATGAAAATTAACATGTGGGTATGCAAGAAAGACCCAAATTAGTATCCCTGTTGAGAAAATGCTGCAATATGTGCTACATAACTACATTAATTAGGCACTAAATAACCCTTTTTGTAAAGGGAGGTTATGAATAATAGAACTAAGAAAAACTTAGATGGAAGCTCTCAGCTTACTATGCATGGCATAATTCAACTATGAGAGACAGAGCAGCATGAAAAAGCCTTCTTAAGTTCCAGTGCTTGAGAACTACTTCTATAATAACATCCATGACCCGCAATTATTAAACTGCTGAGTTTTATACCTAGCTCTAACATATCTTATCTTGCTCTGGAAAACAAATTATCTATTCTACCAAAATACAAGAATTAGGCAGTCTGAGAAACATATTTTCTTTGTTGGCTGAATTTAAAAAATATTTTTTAAATATTAAAAACTTTAAAAAACTTATAAAAATATAGTGTTCATGAAGAATTGTGACAAAAGCTACTTGCTCTTTAGCCATGCTTTATGAGACAATGGCTCATTCATAATAGCAAATATTTATAAGTTAATTGTCTTCTTGAAGGCAAAGACTGGTTTGACTGGTATTGAAGCAGCTGTGCAAATACTCATACAGGTGATCTTACTCCAGATACCTTGTAACTGCTTAGATTTTGCTATAATGAGCCTTAAAAAGTGAAAGCACTGTAAAACAGCAGGTGCCATTCTGCTTTCTACTGAAGTACCTAAATGACTATTGTGTGTTCTGACGCAAACATATAGATGAAAGGGCCTTTCTTTGTACAGCAATTTAGTTTTTTAAAATCTATTTCTAATAGTTTGAAATTAACCACATTTATATCACATAACATAAGAAAACTCTGAATTAAGCTTGTGCAGACAACACTGTGTTTATACGATTTTAAAAGCAAACACTTTGTTACACTATAAATATTTCAGCAAAATATATTTACTTCACATTTAGGGTATGTGCTACTTACAGCAAAGTTGCTCTGCGCTGCATAATGTAGGGGTGTTGCACCTTGACTATCAGATGGGATCGTTCCAACCTTGTTTCTTTCTAATAAGAGATGGACAATCTGTGCATGACCTGAGAAACAGAATATAGTAAAACCAGATATGTATCAAATCCTAATGTTAAACGCTTCCCTGTTTAAAAAAAAGTTAACAGACTTCAATAAATAATAGCATGTTTGTGTTGTAGCCATTATAGTCTAAACATAAGAGATAAACATAAGACTCGATATTTGAACTATTAGGTCTGGCATGCACCTTCCTTCCAATAGTGTTCTAATTCCACACTCTGTCTCCTCGTTTTTGAGGGGCATCCGTAAAACAGAATGAATAGGAATATGTGGAAAGATTTTCTATTTCTTTTAAAAGATATCACTGGAGGATTTCCCTGAACAAAGAAACCAGCAGTAGCTGGTCAGACAACTGCAATATTAACATTGCAATGAATGAGTTGAATATTTCCAGAAAATGCTTCTGACAATTGAGTTGAGATGCTGCATTTGAGTAAGAGATCAGTCATAGGCAGTAAAGTGAGCACAGACTGATGATGCTGCTGAGCATTGTCCATCTACATTAAAAGGTAAGTTAAACCAACACTGACAATTTCATCCTACATCACATTGTTTTAAGAAACGAAGTGTAAATTCTTTACTTAGGTTTTATTCAATCAAAATTTCAACTATAGCATGTGTGTAGAATCATACAACGCCTTCCATCAGAGCAGATTAGAATGGTTTCAGATTAAAATCACAACATTTTGGGGGCGATGGGTAAACTTTATATCCATTTCACAGACAGGAAAACAAAGACACAGCATCGTATATTGCCACTAAAGTCAACTGATCCTTTCAGGAGTTTTCTTTTGTAAGCATACACAGCTCACAGAATATCTTAATGATTTGGTATTTTAAGAGATACTATAAGGCATAAATCACAAAAATACTCTGATTTTACAAGGGAAATCTCCCACTATCTTGCATGTAGGG